GCAGTTGGTTGTTTCTCAATATCGGTGGGATGACCGAACTTTGCCCACTTCTATTTTGTAGAGTATACTCCACAACAACTTCTAGAAGTTTCCTTGGAAATTGTCTCCGTACTCTTCTCTCTTGGACCAAGTAGATTGATTTATGGATTTTTGTGCAAATAGGAATCGTTGGACCCAAAGAAAAAGCATACTCATGTTGAATCTCATTGGAAAATTGTGAAATGACAAGCTTCCAAAAATTTGTATTATATACATACTTTTACTAGTGGATCTTACATCATATATCACGCAAGAGAAACTAATCCAATATTTGGGTGGTGAAGCAAAGAGCGATAGAGACCAAGATCATTGGAGGATTGCTTACTAAGTACCATGTCCTTAGAGCATTTCTCAAACATTAAGATATGATTTGATTATACTGTTTAATTACTTTTTTGAATTCAAGGTATTGTGGCATATATATAGAAAATTTTATATGCTTGCCATTTTAAAAATTTTGCATATTTGTGTATATATCTATTTTATTTACATTATATCTCTTTAATGTAAAATTTTACACTCACTTATAAACTTAGGATAGAAATAACAAAATTAGTATAGTGTAAAAGATAAACCTTCCTATTATTATTATTATTTTGCATAGTAAAATAAATTTATTCTTTATTCTTGAATATAAAAAGTACTTTAACTTGTTATATACAATTGTTACAAAATTACGTTGGTGCTTGTTTCCTACATTCTCTAGCATCCAGCACCCAATCAATAAAAGTAAAGCTACAATCTTTAGCTCTTGCCTTAATCCAATAAAAAAAACCGTAATTGGGTTAGCTCAAAACCTTCCCCATATCCATTGCTCTCTCATTAAAAATCATGTCATTGCTGGCAAACCATAAAGACTACATCCCAGCCACCCATAATGGGGAAGATAAACCTCCCCATTATCTTCCTCTTATATTGCATATAAATGGTGGATTATATCGGAATGAAATCTCTTCTCTATCCACTTATATTCCTTTCATTCATCAGAAAGTAGAAAAGAAACATCTGAATGTAGAATATAATCTATTTATGAATGGTGCATACAATGAAAATATGATAATATACTCTGCGGGAAAACGATGCTGCCTTCATTATCTAAAAAGAAGCAGTGGACACTACTGCTGTTACCAAGAGGCATCATTCTGTTTGGTGACACTGTAACTCTCATGCCTCCACTCCACTTTGTGTTGTGCTTTTTATCACAACTTTTCTTCTCATTCGTTTGAATTAATATAATGGATCACGAACGGTTGGAGAAGAAAAGGGTTCATTTGGTTGGACCCTTTGGCATCATCCCCTTTTTTTCTTTTTTTTTTTTCTTTTTTTCTTTTTTAAATGATGACGTTATGGACGTGATGTATATATGATGTTGGGTAATGAATATGCCTGCACTTTTTTATGCCTTATGGGATTGAAGCATATAGGAATTTTAATCATTTTCACGTCGAATTTTAGTTTCTTTTCTTTTCATAGTAAATCTCTTCTAGTCCCAACCAATAAAATCTTGGTATAGTGGTCGATTAAGGGCTCATTCTTGTCCTCTGTATTTTGATGTCTCCTTATTCTTCCCAAAGCATGTTAATTTGGTAAAGAAACGGCAGCTTCTAAGGTTGTCTATATAGATCGTATAAATTCTCTAGTAGTCTATCGTTGATTGGGAGTAAATTTAATAAAGTAATGGTACACAAAACTACTTAACCACTATATTATTAATTAA